TGGGGGGGGGGGGGGGGGGCTGGAGTGATTCCACCCACCTCAGCCTGAAGTAATTCATGACTGCACTTCCCATCTGCCAGTAAAGTGTCTTGAATAGAAAGCTACCACAGAGATTGGATGTTTTGGTGCTTCATCCTTTCTCGTTGTGCTGGGTAATTATTCAGTTATGAAGGGAAAATGTGATGGGTAAAGGTGGTCCCAGGGCTCCAGTGCCCCTGTCCTGGGTGGGTACTGCTCTCATTCCCCCTTTTTGGTGTCCATGTTGAGCTCAGCGCTGCCTGGCTGGGTTGAGGCCAGGGAGGTGACCTGACCACCACTGCGTCCCTACCCAGACAGGCTCCAGAAGCCAAGGTCAAGCTTTGGATTGACTTTTAGTACAAAAATACTAGGGTGTCCTGGGTTTTGTGAAGATTGGGGATCATGTGTTTTTAGGATTGTTTTCCCCAGCTTAGGAGCTTAGGAGCCTTAGCAGTCTTTGCCTCCAATTATGAGACAAAGTAGTCCTTCTTCGTCTCCCTCCCAGCTGTAATAGCTGCACTACAATTTATGCAACAGTAGATTGTAGATATTTTAAATACCTCCATTAAATAATAAAAAATATGAAAAATGTGCTTTTTTTTTCTTGGCAGCTTGGGAAGGATGGAACATTAAAGCCTGTAAAAATAACATTTAAAATCGAAGTTTTTGTATTTCTATATGCTCAACTTTTTTTTAAAGAATTTTATATGAAGTTTACCTGCACTTGTTCCTTTTAGCAAGGACACAAACTTTCCTTAGTTTCTATGCCAAGACTGCATTTTCAAAAAAGTGAGAAAACCAACTTTAGAGCGTCACCAGGTTATTTTCAGCTAAGCCGCAAGAGGGCAGGGTGTGCTCTCTGTACAGCCTGCTTAAGTCATATTTTCACAAGTAACTAGCCAGAGCTTTAATGCTCTATCAAACCAAGCAAGTAGAAAGAGCAAAACATGGGTCTTTACCCCAGAATTTTTTTATATGCATAATATTAATTTAATGCATTAATTGCCTTTCTTCAGGAAAGGAAAACACCTTTCCAGGAATTGCACTCAATTTACAAGTGAGAACTGAACAACTCTCCCTTGTTTTACTCTCCCATCTCTAGGCAAAATCAGTTCTAACAACCTAGTTGGCTACACTACATCTTTTGTATTTTTCCCTGTCTCTCTGTCCTTCCTCTCCCCCAATCCCACTGTCACCTGCCCATAATCAGGGCTAATTTCAAGCAAGTGCTTGGTACGGTAGCAGCTACACCTCCAAGGTGGTAAAGCTAGTCAGGTATACACTATGCCCTGGGACCCCAAGGAAAAATCTCACTTAGCCTTGGATGTAACACGCCAGCCTACCTCCTCCTACCTCCTAAATCTTGGCATTCATGTCACACACAGAACAAAAGATGGCCATCCTGATCCAACAGATTCTTGCTAAAGAAGAATTCAGCACAAGCTGGTGCATTTGAAGTCTGATAGTCATGTAGTGCTAGCAAGTGGCTAACATTTTCTCCCCTGAGAAGGGCATATGGAGACCTCAGAACTGGCTGAGAACTGAGATTGAGCTGGCACATGCCCAAGTCCGTTCTCTGGAGGTCTCTGGTGATGTCCTCAGCACCAAGTGAAGCTGGTCCCCACACAGTAAATAGTCCCAGAAAGGCAGGGTAACCTAACCGAGAGCTATGGTAACAGGCAGGGCAGTGGCAGAACAAAAAGTGCTCCAGCCCCTGGCCTCTTGGCTGTGAACCAGAAAGGCATGTAAATGCTTGCATCCCACCTTGCACTTCAGCCTAGAACATAGAGCTTGCTTTGTACCATCACATTTTAAAAAAAGACCCAAGGAAATGGGTTTATGAGGGAACGGGTTGAAGCACCTACTGCAGGGCATGCACTGGTGTTTACTGCAGGGCATGCACTGGTGTTTGCTGCAGGGCACGCACTGGTGTTTGTGCACTCTTCTCCTAGCACCCAGCTCAGAGAGCGCTTCGATCAGCCCACTGTCCTCTTGAATCCCATTTGGCGTCCCTGCTCCAAAAGCTCTAATACAGCATTCTGCTCTATGGAGCAACGATGATCCTAGCCCCTCTGTAAACACGTGTCCTCAGCATTTTCTATCGGCATTCGCCTCCTCATGCTTGCTTTTGTGTATCTCATTCTTCGGGCATATCCAAATGGTGCAATGCAGCACCATGCTGGAGAAGCCTGAGCTCGCTGTGAGGAGGAACGTCCACAGAGTGCTGTCCCAAAGGCTGTGTAGCTTTCTTATGGTGCTAGGAAGCTTTATGTGTGCAGCAGCATGGATTTCGATGCCACAGCCAGCTTATCGGTGCTGCCCAAAAGGAGTTCAGCTTCGCAACATACTGCAAAACGTAAACCTTTCCTCAGACACCTAACTCATCCGTGAACTGAGTGGGAGCCAGGATGCGTAACATAGATATTTTGAAATCTTAATGCATAAGTAAGCATATAGATAGATGTTGGTAGGATATGTCAAATTTGGTGTGGAATCAACCATAACTTAATATTCCCTCAATGCTTCAGTGAAGAAAAACAGTGGTGAGAAATTCTGGCAAGAAATTAAAAAATTAATTCTAAAAGGTAGTACCCATGAACTTACAGATGAATACTAGGCAAGTCTGAACTTGGTTTGAAGGGAAGTTGTATCAAATATTAAGTGATAGACAGAAAAGCAGTAAATAGATTACCAAAAGCCTGGTATTTTTACCCTGGATTTCCAAAGAAACTAGAATCACATCATTACTCTATGTGTATATTGGTTCTGTCCTAAAAACATGTTAACATATCAGCCATTTTCAATCACATTTTATAGAAAGGTAAAGATTTTATATTTTATGAAAGCACATGGCCAAATGAAAATCAAAACCTGATTCTTCCACTGAAGAAACAGCTGCTGTGTGAGCATACATGACTGGATAAGAGGGGATTCACACAGGAGTTCAGAAAAAATAGAAAAAAACAGAAAAAGAAAAAAAAGAAAAAGAAAACAGCTCAAAATAGAATCTATCAGTGATCCTGGTGACCTGATGAATACTGTGAGTATTTTACTTAATATTTTTAGCATACATGTAAAAATATTGTTCTGCTAATGCAAGAAGGGCTACCTGAGCATATGGTGGGCACATCATAACATTTCTTTGCCCCGAATGCCCCCAAATCAGTATTTTAGAAGTTTTGTGAGTTATATATTTTCAAAGCTAAGTATACGTGAAGATTTACAAGATCTTCCTAGTCCACATGGCTAGTATTAAGTAGACCTAGAAGAAACACCATAGAAATCTTTACTAAAGATACAATTTTTATTCAAGGCTATGCAAGCAGACTCTAAGACCCAAGCCATTACAGTTTGTAAAAATGCCAAATCTGAGCGTTCCGTGCACTGAACCTGACACAATCTATTCAGGACTCCATTCGCTGTGTACAAATCCTGTTTCAACGTAACATAGGATAGACACACAAATATGGTGCAAGTTATATTTAAGAGGCATTTATAATGGAATATTTAAGATAGAGGTCTAGGGAGTGCCACATCCAGACCTGCTCTCCTATCTGCAGACCTGAGTAATACAAGATACTCAGCCTCGTTCCCTTGAGTCCTGGGTCGCAAACTTTGGGAAATACTTAGGTCTAGATTCTTTTCTACAAGGAATCTCTTCAACACTCATATTTTCCTAAACCACTAATGCAGGGTTATCTGTGTCATCAAATCTAAAGCAGCAGCTAACCAAGTTTAGTAGGAAATTTGGGCCATTAGTTGGATCTGTTGGTAAAGGAGTCCCATGAGAAAATAATAAAAATAAACTTTTCTTAGCCAAGCATTTAACTAGCTTTTGGGTGTGCAAAATAATTTGTCCTTCTATACTGTGCACGGATATAGACATAGATACACTCAGCGATGTGTGTGATTATTATACAGCTTGGGAAGAGCTACAGCTTGAATATCAAGTAGACATTGAAAGTAACTGCCTTATACTGTGACCATCGTTTGCCCTAAACAGTAGAAAAATCTTTTCTGAAGAGATACATCTGTTTTCCTGCCATCTTCTTATCTGACACCTGCTCTCTCCCCATACACACACACTCACTCCTACTTCTCTGCTACCTGGAACATTTCCCATCACCAAAAAACTTTCTCTTTTCTCTGAATTTAGTACCACTTTAGCTATATCTGAGCCTCCCTCTTCTTTCCATGCATACCACAAAACTATACAGCAGAGCCAAGAGAGAGAAGGACTAGCACTATGTTCGGCTTCTGCTGCAGTCCCTAACAAAACAGAAGTGTACATTTAGCTGTAAGGGAACTCCTGCTCTTAATCAAACTGCAGAGGAATCTGAGCTGGGGGCTTTACCTAGTGTTACGATCAGCTTGATCAGAAATAACATATGGAATTGATCTTGCTTCTGAAATAAACTAACTAGAGGTTTCATACAGTATTCTGTCAAGCTGAACTCTCCTCTTCCCTCTTATCTCACTAAGCTGCATGAAACATTTGGAACTGTAAAAAAAAAAGTCTACATTGTTTATTCAGAATATTGATTGATAAAATGATCTGCTATTCAAATTATACATAGAGCTAATGACATTCTGCACGTCTCAGAGCTGTTAAATAAAATCAAAAACACATTGAGCTGGAAAAGCATCTTGCTTATTGATCATTCAAGTTGTTTTTCTTCTTGTTCAGATTCTTAGCTGTCTTGATCTAAATCTATAGAGAATAACTTCTAAGTATCACACACTCCACGTAATCCTTGGAAATGAGAAAACTTTGGCCTGTATAGGGCATTGCACATAGGTACCCAGAGACTTTATCTGTTACAGTTCACAAGATAGTGGGAAAAAATTAATGGGAATAATATACTTAGCTGCCAAAGGAGTGTGTGATAAGTAGGTGGCTAAAAACCTAGGCTAAAAACGTAGATCTGAATGAACTAATCAAGGTCACCTACAAGAGTAACTAAGAAAACAAAGTCAAGGCACTAGGCCTCTTCCATGTACTTTTTTGGGGTGAAGCTCACATTCATCAGTGGTTCAAAACCTTTTCTCTGTCTTCGGTGTTGAAAAAATACAAGCAGCAGGACTAGCATGACCAGAGCTATAAGCGCTCCTGCAAGCGTGGCTCCAACTATGATAGCCCAGGCTTGAGTTTCTTCAGATGAACCTGGAAATACAGAAAATGTGAAGTAAGGACCGCTCATAATTTTATTTCTCAAATTACATGGGAGAAAGCGATATCGTACGATCTGATAATTATTACTACTTGCATAGCTAAGAGATCCATTGGCCACAAAAAAAGTTGATAATCCACGATGCAACCAACACACATAACAGAGCCAGAGTCATTTCCTGCCAGAGAAGTCTACAGCTGAATTTAAACTTCGACATTTCAGAGAAATGAAACAGTTGAGAATGAGAAGGATGAAGGGTAACAAGAAAAAGAGACTATTCTCTTACTTAATTTGGCCAGTTATGAATGTTTTAAGTAAATCTTTCCACAGTAACATCTCCGCATAGTGATTTCCAGACTAATTTGGTACATGGAAAACCCTCAGATTTTCCAACAGGCCACAATGCAACCTATCGCCAAACTTTTAACTGAAACTATTATGATTTTGCTGACCACCTATGCATCACATCCTCTGATCTTGAACTACTATTGGGGAACCACTGTCTTCTAGTGTAACATTGATCATTCTTACTGTGTAAATAAGTTCATGTCAGCTCCAGTTGGCTGAATTAGTTTATTTTTTTAATTTATGCTTTCAGAAGATTCAGGCAAGAACTTCCTGTTGTCCTATTCTGAAAAATGCTAAACATATTGAGATGTCGGCAAAAAAGTTTGACTCAAATAACATTCAGGAAAAACTCTCAAAAAAGCTTAAGGTGTTGTAAATATCTTGAAGGAATTTAGACATAAGGGCTTAAATCCAGGGGGCTCAAGATGTCACATACTGGCTACAGAAGTGACTAAAAGTTGTGTGCCCCAATCCAGAGTATCCAAAGCTTAACTAAGTGCATCTCTGACAAGTTTCATGAGGCAGCATAATTCAGGGTCCTATGCGAAACAAGTATTTTCTAATGACTAGCAGCAGCCTGACAAGCTTCCTGGCAGAGCACCTGACCTCTGACAGATTAAAGGATGCTGTAACAGGCATAAACAGTGCTGGCAACAGGGGCCAAAATTAGAGACTCCTCAGCCCCAAAGGAGCATGCTCATCAATATCAAAGCAGTTTAAGTTGGCGCATTTTGCTGCAGAGCAGGAACAAACTCTGTGCACGCTTGTAGTTACACAACTTGCCTGGTGAGTTGTAACTACCTGGGCTACAAAAGGATACCAGATACATGTGGTTGCTGGTGGCCAGGAGAATAGATTCATGCTTTTGTAAAAGGTGCCTTATTTTCCAAATTTCTGTGTCATTGAAAACTTGAGCTGTCACATCTCTTGGCCTGGAAGTGCCTCCACACCTCCAAAACATACCTGGCAGGTCAATGGCATAGGTGTAGCCAAGCTGCTCCACAGTGAGAAAAAGTTGGTCATTGGTCACAGGAGGGAAGAAAGGGACCATGTTATACAGTCTGTTGTGACCGATAGGGGCCAGCTCCTCAGGCCAGGCATTGTCAGGTGGGCTAAACCGTTTCATCCATTCGTCAAAGATGGCATCAGTAAAGGAGTGAAGAACCTGCAAATTCAGCCATAGGCATGCATACTTATTAAGTTATTTCCTGAGAAAATTGGACGGTTGTTCTATGCAGATGCTGAGCATGAAGCGTGAATGTGTGGAGGGTGGGGAGACACTGATTGCCTAAGAGCTGTACTGGCACGCTGCAATCTCCCCTCGATAAGCACAACAGTTATGTCACCTGAGGACAGAGTGGGACCCAAGCTGTGACTCAGATAATATCCCAGTTTGGTCCCCGCATCCTTCTTATCTCCCCAAGGATGGTGAGATTTTGCCCCCCTCCCCTGAGCAGGACACACGTCCTAAAAGACCTGCTGGGGCTGCACTGTTGCCCCACCATGCAGAGAGCTGTGATCTGGGGACAGCTACTCATTTTCACCTCAGAAGGAAGCAGCTTTTTAAAGCGAGAGAAGGGCAGAAAGAGAGAGAGGAGGGAGAAGGAAGAAGCTAATCTAATTTAGGTGGGATTTACAGAACAGGAAAGCAGCAAAACTTATGAGAAAGGACTAAATTAAACTACTGTGTGGGACATTTTACTATATACTTTCTTGCTCTTGTGCTGTTGTGCAATCTTCCTCCAGACTGTCATTTCGTAAAAGCCAGCTTTCTATCCCTGTGATAAGTTACTCTTAGTGGCCAGGACACTGAAAAGTCAAGCCATTTATTCAGGTTACTTTCGACACTTTCCCTGGAAAACCCTGACCCAAGAACTTAGGCTCAGATGAATGCAATGTGAATTGCTAAACAGCTTCAGTTAATCCCGGCCCCATTTAGAGACCCTATGGGTGAAAATTGGCTCTGATTAACTTCAAGTCCAAGCACTTCTTCAGGGGAGCAATGCTTAGATGAGTCACCGGAGGGAGCTCAAGACACTCACAAGAACAAATAGCCCTTCAACGAACGAGGGGCAGTCGGGAAAGGACGTTTTAAGAGGGGAAGAAGTTTCACGAAAGCATTGCAGAATATGCCTTATACTGTGGTTATGTTCAAAGGTACCTAGTGCTTTACAAGTGCAGAAAGGCATAAAATGTTTGCTCCAAAGCATATGCTGGAAGCTGACAGCACGTCCAAAGCGTGAAGAGATGTGGATCATTTGAACACTGTTATCTTAATAGTTATGAAGTGTTTGCAGTATCAGGCAGCAGGGAATTCCCTCGCTTTTCCTCGATGTGTATATTTAAGACTTGATATCATAATATCTCTCAGCTGGAAATTAATGGGTGGGTCCCTCCTCTCATGTAAGGGTCCACCAAGCTCATTCAGGTTAATCTACTTCTCCTAAGTATTTTACTGTCTCTTGCCTTTGAACAAGTCTGGAAAATTGCAACCAATTGGATTCTTCACGGTCATTTTATAGCATTCCACCAGCCCCGCAACTCCTGCTACCCACAGATTTGATCAAGTCTTTCCCAGTAAGTTCATAGATCTATAAAACACTAGTTCAGGAAAGTTGTTTCCAAGTTGAGTTCAAACAACTATTATATACCTCCGGGGCTCTTCAAACTCGTTTCTATTGTACTTTTGTTTTTTAATGACCGCTCTGGAAAAAAATAGTCCAGAAAATACCTTACGGCAAATAATCCTGTGTAAAAATAGAAAGGACAGTGAAATAAAGATTCCATTGTGTAAGAAAGGAATTAATATAGGAATTCAAACATTGTGAAGGAAATAAACTAGTGAACCACTACATAAGTAGTCGGGCTAATTTATCAGATTATCATTTTTAACAGAAAATTACAAAATTAAAATAAAGACATGAATTCTATTAGAATTCCTCTACATAATCATTGTGATTTAAGCTAATAAAGAAGAAAAGAAACTGTCATGCATTTATTAAGCAGAGGAAATGTGCAGTAGGCTCAGCTGCCAGCTTTTTATTTGCAAGTTGCTGTTTGAGCTGTTCATTGCAGTGTGATTTTATACTAACACACTAGCAAAATCCTATTATTTCTATTCCCCAATAAACTCTGAAATTAGATGTGCTTTCTCTTAGACTATCCCTTAGAGAGAAGTTTTTAAAAAAGAAAAAAAATAGTCAGTCTACTGTCCTAAAATAGTTAACCCAATTTTCAGCTTTTCTTGTTGCTGTAACATTGTCTGGTATAAACCATGAAATTTAAATCCTACCTAATGAAAGGATTCTGGGCAATGTGAGTTGGAATAGTACTCTTCTCCCTAGAAACTGATTTTGTATTGCACAAATCATCCTGAGATTTCTCCTTTCTTTATTTGACCATTATGCAGATGTGGCAGTGCTCAAGAAAAGAGAGAAGAGTTCTCATTTTGTATGTAAAGGACCTATTTTAGGGGATTCACTTTACTTCTACTCTGCAAATCCCTGGTGAGATAGCTACCTTTGAATCACAGCCAGTTACACTCACATTGGGGAAAAAAGACATACCACAAAGATGGGATCATTGGCAGCAGCGTGAGAGAGAACACTGGTCCCATTCAGGAAAGAGAGAGCTAAATTATGAAGGCTCAGCACCGACGAGTTTAAGGTACCATCTGGTTTATTGAACCCTTCCAGCGCATTCCTGTGGATGTATTTTTAAAAAAAAAAAAAAAAAGTAAACATGTCTTGTTCACAAACACACGAATAAAAAATATTTTTAGCTCCTTCTGCAGAGGAGCCAAAGGACAAACCTGAAACTGAAACTGGAATTCCGAAAAAACGGCGGGCTGTCAAACTCCTGCAGGGAAAGGCAGTTCCTGATGTCCTCCAAGGTAGGCAGCTGCCGGCTGGAGGTCCTCAGCGGCCCCCTCCGCAGCGGCCCTTCATCCGTGCCATTGCACAGCGTGACCAGGCGGTTGTAATCATCCAAACTGAGCGGAAAATGGAAAAGGGCACAAGTTAGGGCAGGGCGTTTCTATCTGTTTGCCTTTTTTCCCCCCACAATGAAAAAGAGGCGTCAGCTGTCTGAGAGGGCAGAGTTTATGGCCAGACACACCGTGGGAAATCTGTTTGCCTCCAGTGGCCTGGAAGATGAATTTATTGCAGAGTTGCCATCGTGCCACGATTCTCACCGGCTCATTCGGAGCAGGAGTGGCTAGGCTTGTCCTCAGCAGAGAGGACATTTCAGAAAGAGCAAGCAAAGCTCCATGCAGGCCCTCTCCCATCTGAGCATTTTGGAAGAGCAGTTTTTGCTGGACAACTCAAAACAGTTGAAACTTTTCGTCCTGAGTAAGGACTAGCTTTTTAACTTTTAGCAAAGAGAAAAAACATGGAAGTCCTACTGTGGGGTGCGCTAAAGAAATGCAAGGACTGATAGAAAACAGGTTTTCACTTTCCAGCTCTTATACTTATTAGGAGAAAAGCAGCTGCATTACGTTGCATCCTTTTCCTCAGGACCTGAAGGATAAAAAGTCCTGCACTTGCAGCAGTTGTCTACTAACTTATGAGTGGGAGTCCTTTATATTAGGGAGATAAAGAAGGAAGGAGAAAAACAATGTAACAGTTGTTAACAAAAAAAAAAAAAAGTAAGTGCTATTCAATATAAAATGAAATGGCATTTTCCTAAACTGCTGGAGTAAGAAAAGCCCTTCTCTGTTTACCCTTGGCAAGACAACAGCCCAGTCACTTCAATTTTCAAGAAAAAACAAAACCCTATTTATCTTAGAGAAAAAGTAGGGACAAGATATAAAGCTAACTGGTGCCTAAGGCCAGAATTGCAAGTAACTCTTTAGGTGCCTAGAGAAATAGCCTCTTTTCTGAAGAGCCCTGGACATTCAATACCTCCTTCTGACCTCATACTGGCCCCAACCTCACACAAGAATATTATATGAGTACTATAAACAACAGCATCGTACGTCATAAGGATCCAAGCCTGCACATGAATTCACCCTGCACTTACCCAAACTGCTATATACCTACAGATAGCTGGCAGCAAGATAGTGGCTACCTTTTTCCTTTTTTTTTTAACTTTGCTATCTATGTGAAAACTCAGCCACTTTGAAGTCAGTTCCAAAACTGCATTAAATATCTTGGATTTAGGATCTCACGCAATGCAAGGAAACAGATTTTTCAGCCTACCTGCAACTTGTTCCAAAATCAGCTGGGTGTTACAGAGCACCAGCAGGCTGGCATTTCTCCTTTAAAAAGATACTTGCAAATGTGGCAAACTCTTCAAACTTTTGTCAGACTCAAATTGGCTGAATCAGCTAAAATCCTCTATCAAAAGAATCATCCTAAAAACGTATTTCCATGATAGCAGTGGTAAAACTTACGTAGCACCGTGTACATACTAATCCATCATAAGTCCCAGTTTTCAAAAAGAAGTCTTGGTTCTTTTCCTATCATTCACTCCCACTGTGAGAGCAGTCTGAGCTGCCAATAGCAAATGAAAAAACAAGATTTGATCACTATGCAAGTTTGTCCTAGGCATTCTCTTACCTATTACAAACTATTTGCCAGAGGGAGAATCTGGAGTTTGGGCTGATTAGGCTTGGGTCATCCGGCCAGGATGCTCCGAAGAGCTGATCCGTACACACGTCACATTCATTTTTACCTGTGGCAAAATTCCAGTAGGGCAACGCAAAGGACTCATTGCCAGTCAGTCGCTACAATGGAAAGAAACACGTTAGCAGGGTATCACCTTTAAAGGAAAGAAAAAAAAGCAATTCCCCAAAATTGTTTTAGTAGATACTCTGTATTCTGCTTTTAATTTGAAAATGAACACCACTCATTTCATAACGCTGCTCCAACTCTTTTCAAAACAGTAGCATAATAAGTCAATCCTAACAAAAAAATTGTCTCTAGTTAGTGCACTGCTGGATTGCACTTTTTTTGGCCAAGTTAAGCTTTCTACCAACTCAGTAACCAAGCAGGAGAGCAGAAGAGATTAATCAAGCCTTTAAACAACAAGGAGGTTTTCTGTAGCGAGGTAAGTGGGCAATGGGTAAAACTGTATATGTGGTTTGCTTTCACTCTAGAAAGGGTAACCCTGGGGAAGAATCTGATTTTGTATTAATAGAGGAATACAGTGTATTTGCTTGCATTTGCTTGTTGCATAGGATTTCATGCAAGCAAGATCCTGCAACTATTCTGATACCAACCATTTTCAAGGTCAAACTACATTAAAATAGAAGTATTGCAAATGTGAATGCTTAGCCAACTGAATGTCAGGCACATTAACACATATTGCTTAAAAAGTCTATACCTAAATATACGAATGCATTAAATGGCATTATTAAAGGGGGTAATATATGGAGTTGCTTCCCCTAAGATGGTGTCTTCAAAATCAGCAGGCAATATCTGTCATTAAGTTTTGCTTATAAGTGTTGCTTTGATTTTATTAATAAATAGTGTTACTTCACATCTTGTGCTCTTTGTCAAGAATACGTAGGAAAAATCTCCATGATAACCTTTATGTGATTGTTCAGAGTGAAGCTCCTAACATAGGATCTGGTATATCTTCATCTGACTATTAACTCCATTTAAGTTCTAGTTCCTCTTGAAAGTGTTCACGGTTATCTTCAAACTGCTCAGCACCTTGAAAGAACTAAATTCACTTTAAATAAAAAAGGACCAATGAGCAAACACATTTGAGACTAGGGTGTGTAAGAATCTGTGCTAAGAAATAGCTTATCCTTGGCTAGCTGGTCAAAGATGTGTAGCAAAAGAGAGACGCCACATGAAAAAATAAAAAGGATGTTTTGCTAACCTGTAGATCTCTTTCCAGCAACAGCAAATGGTACCTATGCCAAGTAACAAAGGCAGGTCCTTGATGCGAGAAATCGATAGCTGTGAAAGGGCGGCCAGGTCCTGCAAAGGGAAGGTATAATGAGCACTTCAAGAGCAAATGAAGCTAGATAGAAGGTGAACGGCTTCTTCTATTGCCTGTACTTGAATCAAATGAAAAGCTCCAGCTCCGCATCTTTGGAAAAAGCACAGATCAGAAGCTAGAATATTTACATAGGATTACTGAACCAAAGTCTTCTTTGGATATTAATTTCAACATTTCTCAAAACTTCACATTCCAAAAGGTTTGATATTGTGAAGATTTCTTGTCATTTGAATGTTCTTATTTTTGAGAAACTGTCTTATTGTCCAATATCTAAGGTCTTCTCTAATATCTACCACGTTGTCTCATTATCTTGATGAGCAGTAAGAGTTACACATTCTATTCTATTCTATTCTATTCTATTCTATTCTATTCTATTCTATTCTCTGTTAAGAGAACCTTAACATCTTCCATAACCTGCCAACAGTAATTCAATATGTCCTTTGCCACCTTTTTTTTTAAACTGGGCTTGTTATTTCTCCTCAGGCTTGTGCTGGCCCCCACCGCAGAAGCTCCTGAAGAAATCAGCTAAAACAATGAGGATCCTCTGCAGTGTTCTGCTAGGAGGTGAAGCATGAATCTGCAGAGGGAAATTTGGTGGGTTTTGCTGCTCAGCATTTCAGATCGCTGCGGTTCTCATGACTGTTTCCCTTCCTGGCACTCCAAAGCTCAGCAGAAGAGCTGACGCCACATTTTAGGAAATCTTCGAAGAAAAGGGGTGCATTGTTTTCAAAACGTATAATGACAAGCTAGTTTTTCCTTCATTTAGCTGACCAATTACTAGTGGGCACTGGCATTACCCTTTTCCTTTTTTCAGATAAATTCCTATTTTAGAAAAAAACAGACTACTTGATGTAACATAGCTTAGCCCTAACTGAACTTAAAAAAGAAATACAGAGCCATCTGTAGTGTCTTAATGCATGCTTTGTACATAAATACTGTTTTGCCAAATAGATTTATAATGGTTAGCCATGCTTTTAGAATTAAATCTCATGCTAGATTTTGGAAGAAATACAGATTTTGTCTTTTTAGCAATCCAGCAAAATATGAGGTTTCTCCTGAGGTTCACAAATAAACCTAGTCTTATTTTCTTACATGACTGGGTATTGACTCTCTAGTGTACAACGGGCTACTATAGCTGTAATCTTTCAAAAAAAAAAAGAAAAAAAAGGAGAGAAACATGCCAAAAAGCTGCTTCCAGTGGAAGAGCTCCTCAGGCAGCAGCTGTTTGATTCTGCTGTGATGTTTCTTTGAATACAAAATAGCTTCACGATGTTTGAGTGATAGTACTGGAGGCAAGTAACTCTCTCTAAAAGATAGGTTTTGATTGACAGTAGTCTCACAAAAAAGATGTTTCTTAAGATGAAAATGGACCCATCAAGTTTTAAATATTTTAAGCTGTAAAAAGCGTCATAAAGGATGTGTAACAGATAGGTACTTGGTTCAGAAAAGATTTGGAAGATTTTCTAATTAGTTTAGTATTTTCCATTCAAAATTAATCTCTTTCTCTTCTCGCTCAAGTCATCACAAAGATATGAGAATTCAAATATACTGATATGCAAAGATAGATTAGTTATTATTCATGTTTTCATTTTAACAAGAGCTATTTCAGACATTTAGCAATTTTGTAATAAAGGCTTCACCAAGGCTTTCTTTCATGTAGAAAATCCGCTTTGATTCCCATACTGCATTTCTGCGATGTAACCAATCTTATACACTGCCATCACAATTTTGATAGACGATCAGCTGACAACCTTTTCTGCACTTACAATAACATTTGGAGAAGAGCAGTCTAATGGAAATAAGCCCCACCCTACACAAATAAACTGAGGCAATGAAAGAGTAGATGCTTCAACCCACATATGGATTTACTTATCATTGCAGTGGCACTGGAAGTTGCCTCTTTCCACAAGACTGTCTTATCCCTTGAAGACTCTTTGCTTTTGCTAAGTCCTTCAACTGTTTCACTAACACTAGCAAAGTGGAATAGTTTCAGGAGAGACTGAAGTAAATGCACTTTAGGGTAATAGACACCTTCCAGAAAAAAGAGATAGATGTGGGCTGCTGTATTGGCTGACCGTTCATCTCACTCAGATGGAGAGACTTGAATGCTAAGCCCCACAGCTCAGATGTAGGACTGCTGGATAAAAAAGCCATACTATTGCCTTATTTGAGAGCCGGGCTCTATGAGATGGGGTTAGTGTAGATACTTCACTCTAGAAGAGCAATAACGACTAAGAATCCTCATTTGGGAGAGGAAGCATGGAGTTAGATGTCCAAACCTCCCACCTGGTTAGGTTTTAAAAGCTGACTACGGCTGGCCAGGCGAATCCCATCCTTAAGGACTTGCTGAAAGCCACAGGTGGAGACTCAAGGTCAAGTAGGCAGAGGGACTCCAGTTTCTGAAGTCTCTGGATGCTGCCTTAATCACTGCATAACACTTTTCCCTACTGTTGCTGCATCTACCTTGTAGTCTGTATTAGGAAAGTATTTTTGAGGTGAATCATGGACCACACACTGGCTCACCCAACAGCCACTTGAGCACATGAGCTACCTTCCCATCAGATGGAAGATGCACCCAGGAGAGCAGCTGGTGTGCCCCAGCCATCACTGGGCTTTCAGTCCTTGGGACCAGACTGCAGCAGGCCTGAAGCGGAACTCACTGAACTGCATTTGGCCACCAGGTCCTCAGCGCTAACTTCTTTACTCTGCAGATCTACTCGTAGCAGGCCTCCTTGGTTGCTAAAGTAACATAGCCATGTTAAGCATGCTTACCTTTGTCCAACATTTATACTTTTCTCCCCTTTCATTACATGAAGGACCCATTGGATAAGAAAAGCACTAACCTAATAACGTGTCTCTGACTGAGTAGTAATGAAGCCAGACGAAGTAGTTATAGATACTACAGTTTGCAATTTGTGGTTCCATTCCAGTGGGACCAAGCAGACTCATCCAGTGTTGAGTTGCAATTACGTAGTCTGGATGAATGGTAGTCTTTGCACGGTGTAATGCATCAAAGAATTGCTCTCTCTCTTCTGCAGTCAAGGAATGGATATTCTTCCTGACAACTGGTGGCTTCCTCTCATTGCAGTCAGGGCCAGTCCATCCAAACTTGCAGTCACCACAGTTATAGCCAGCAAAGTTTCCTGAATTAAGAGGGACAGAGCAGCCATCAAATTATGAATCAAGGAAAACTAACATTGAAAAGCAGAAGAATTTAGAATTAGCATTCCTTTTCTCCCCAGAGATTTCAATTCCTGGAAGGGACAGCAGCTTTGCCAATTGCTTAACTAGGAGGATGGCTCACTTCCCAGAAGCATAGCAGGGCCAAGAATCACACTCAGCTGGCTGGGGAGTAAAGCACTAGATAATGGGTTTGATGCCTCAAGATGCGGAGAACGCTGCAAAACCCCCAGGTGCACGAGGATTCTCACAGAACAGAGGGCTGAGCACTTCAGGTTAAGCACGTGATTAAGTGCTTTGCTTGATTTTCTCTCAAGTACTCCCAGACTTCCAGTATCAAATCCAAAAATTGGTCTGCTCATGTGGATCTTTAAACACAGCAAAAAATTCCCAAACAAAACAAAACAGTGCATTTAAGGGCAAAATCTATGAAAAACTAAAGTCTGTTAACAGCATTTCTGGGACCCAGCAAAATCCAGGACAAGCACCAGGGGTGCTGCTGGTCACACTTTAAGCATTATTAAATGGTGCTGAAATAACAGCCTGAGAAACAGTAGAGTACCGTCATTCCCTGTTGGCATTTTTTCTGAGGCAAGTAATCAGATCTGCTCTAGGCTATTAACTCAGATTCTCTAATGTGGTGGAAGAGACCAGGAACACAGAGCTAGCTTTAAGTACAGGTGCCATGGCCTCTTGCCTACAGTGGCAGACTGCCAAAAACAGCAGAAAGACCCTGCTGGGTCTTACCCAAAGCTTGATAAGCTTTCTTTGACTTTGCTAGAGGAGTTGGGGAACAACTGTTCTGGCAACGTACATCTACCTCCTGCCCAGACATACACAGGCTGCTGGTGCAGGAGGTGTGCAGGAAAGTGGGCATTGCCATGAAGGGCAGGAGGGAGAAGGGAGACAGCCGGGGCTCCTCTGGGATCTCCACTCAGTTCTGCAAATGCTGCACCAAGATTTTCTAATTCCACATCCCTCCTATATACACACACTCCCTCCATAATGACCATGCTAACTGCCTTCCAAAAAGTCACAAAATCTCACTTTCCCCCACACATTTCAGTGCTGCCCACTAGAGGACCCTGCTGGAGCAGGGAGGTTGGACTAGATGATCTCCAGAGGTCCCTTCCAACCTCAGCCATTCTGTGATTCTGTGATTCTGTAATGTGGAGATGGGGAAGTGGCTTATGAAGAGTTCCTGGATGGGCATATGTCCCTAGGCTGCAGTGTTGAATATAGAAGTAAAATAGCAGGTAACGCTAAAATAAGACTTCAGATTTTCAGGAGTTACAGAGCTACAGCTTGTTACCAATTTCAAAGACCCCCCCAAGGTTACAAGAGGTGCTGTCATGCAGGTTATACAGCTTATGGCTAGCTCCAGGATAAGGACTGCTGAGCTGTAAGCATTTGTAACAGACTCCTGTGAGACCTACCAAGAGGATATGGGAACTCCTCTTAACTTCAGGTTTGAAGAGTTTATGAGGCTATGAGATCAATAGGTTACATGTTTTCATGAAGCTTAGGACCAGTAATAGGGTTAGGGACCACAGGGGTGAAGATTTAACCTAGGTTTTGCAAAGCCTGATGGCATACAACAAGGAAGGCATACGGTTTATGTTTCATCCTGACGCAGGCAGGAGTGGCTGGGCTAGGCTAGGATTGAAGGTATCAGAAGCTAGGGGTCTGCGCTGGGTTAGGGGGAAGATGGCTTATTCCAGAAAAAAGAAATAGTTTGTAGTTTTATGAAAGGAAGTAGGAGTGGATGGATATGTTATGATGGTGAGGGCAGGCATTAAGATGGTTGAAAAGCAGCATGGCAGATTGATTTTATCCTTACATCCTGCAAATTCCATGGGAAGAGCATTACTGCCCATCTGAATTTGGGTGTACCCCACTATCTATGTTTTTGCTCATTCTTGACAATTCAGCCTAGCTATTAGTCTGTCACATGTTCCAGCGTGTACTGACCAGATGACAAATCTTCAGGAATATCTTACAACATCGCCTAATTAGGCTATGTATATTGCATAAGCAGCTTCGGCGCATGATAAGTTTTTAGCAGAAAGCTCAAATGGAATCATTTATTGAGAGATCTCTAGAACTGTCTTTTGGAAAATATTGGTTCCTGTTCCTCACAGCTCCTCCAGTGTGCCTACTGTGCAACCAGGGACTATGTGATAAAGTTAAATGGCACTGTCTAACCAAATATAATCAAACACATGGCACCTGGAGTTCCCATAGCTATCTTTTAGGTCATATCTAAAGTATAAATTAAACAGGGCAGGGATGGCACTGGAACACAATCATCTATATCATTAAACTGTTCGAAAGAGCCTTGGCATGGGTTGGGGTTCGCACAGACCAGGAACCATTTCAAATAACAGTTTACATGTCACATTCATTTGGAAAATAAGAAAATGTAATAGTACAGGTGTGCACTGTTCCATGCTCCTTTGAATGGGCATATTTAATTTACTACCATAAATGCCACAGGCCTAGATGCCTAATAAAGACCACACATAATACCTTTTAAAACTCCAGTGCACAAACAGGTGACCAGTGTATAACACAGAGAGAAAAAAAAAACACTAGTAGACACAGACTTACAGTTACAGTATTACAAAAACATCAAATCTCATTCAGTTCTTACACTGTCACAAACTTCTTAGCACTCTCCTTAGAAAAGTCTTTGCATTGCAGTATCAAGCTGACCACAACAGAAGAGAGCCCAGAAAACTGTTCTTAAAATTACCATTAAGGCTGCCACCTTAATGTTTTGTCACTGCTGTACTTAGAGAACAAGGACTCTAGAGATCTCTTAATAAAACTTAATAAAATAAATAAAATTGTAATAGCTCCACACAAAAGGACCTCTGAAAATTTGGCCTTCTGCTGTAAATGTTCATTAATTCTTGTAAATCATATCCATCCAGGTCTGGGTGCTGAGCAAAGGAGGAGGAATACAACAAGTAAAATAAAATCGGCAGAGTAGATACGCAAAGAGAGAAACCACATTTAAAGAACTGAGGAAAACGGACAGCCCAAAAGAGGACAGGGAAAATGAAACTACATTACACTCTAGTCACATAACTTAGGACCCAGTCCCACAAATATCAAATACCTTTACTCGGACAAGCAATTTCAATTAATGTCTCCCTATGGGTATGACAACAGCGCTCCCCAGTTTATTCCCGTGTACTGATCCCCTGTGTATTCAGACTGCATAAGTGCTAGGGTATTCCCATACGCTTCAGTGTTCTTCTGACTTGGGGTTTAGTTTTGGAGGTATTTAAGAACCCTTAAAATGAAATAAAAGCTGTATTTACTATTTTCTGTAAAGTGTCTGGAACATATAAAGAACTACCACCTGAGCATTTTAGATCTAGTCAAAGAAAGAGAGAGAAATAGATTTACACTCTAAAGTCTATTTTTATTTTAGATGAGCCTCAATAATACTATCTATCCATTTAGGTCATCTGCCACTACCTCTCTGCTTTCAGTTGATAACAGTATTGCAATGCTTAACTGGATGGCCTGACATTTTCTGCTGTGTGTCTTCCTCAGACTGATTTGGGTTTTGTGATAATGAGAAGTAAGGTAAATTTCAGATAAAATAGGTCAGCTACTTCTAACAATCAGATTGAAAGAAAGCATGCTATTTTTCCCATGTTAGAAAATTCAGACAACTTTGTTTCCAACAAGACGTCCCAGGCTGCATTTGAAATCTGCCTAGCAGGTGACTTTTGTACCACAGACATGCCTTTTGCCTGGCATTCCCAATACTGTCCCTTGCCAGCCCTGCAAAGCAGTCAGGGCACTCGTTCCAAGGTCACTTTAACTCTCTTTAAATGAGGGTCCTGCCTCCTTACCCTGCCCTGACCTTGCCTTCTTATTCCCTCTCTCACGCCAGCACTAGTGAGCTGGTATCACTAAAACCCAGCCCTTCCGGCCAGGTTAGCCTTCAGGCACATCAGTTCCCTGATCCAATTTGCTTCCCAGCACGCTAACACGCAGGCCCACGTAAAGGCAAGAGTGGGACTGAGCAGCTGGAGATGAGGAGGAAAAGGGCAGGATTGCCCTTCCCGTGGTAATACGGACCTGTTTGGGACTAAAGTGAACTGTAGTCTCAGTTAACAATGCTGGAAAACAGCCCGGCTGGACATTAACACATTTTCCGTGCAGGGACATACTGTTCTGCAAAGTACCACTCCAGCAGAAACAAACATGATCAACGCAAACTGATCAAAGTTCACAGTGTCAGTTTTAGCAGTCACAGAAGAACCAGGTTTGAACACAGCCCTGAGATTCCCAAAACCTTTCGGAAAAAGCTAATGGCCATAAACTTGACCATCTTTTAAGGAAACTGCTAAAATTCAAAGCCTTCTTGAGGTCTTACCCCATCAGGCACCTTTCTAGCCCTTGGCCCTGCCTGGAGCAAGGCTTGCAGATCGCTTCATGCTCCCACTGCCAGTGTCCCCTCTCACCTGTGCACTGACAGCTCTGATTGAAGAACTTGAGGGGCCATTGTTCCCGGTCGTCCACATTTCGAAGGGTGTAGGGGCCACTCCAGGGCTGAGCATCCACGTGTACCGCCTGACACTGCCCCTTGCCCTGCAGCATCCCGCACACATTGCTTGGCTCCAGCCCCAAGGCTGGGCAGCATCGCTTCAACCGAAGAGCCTCCACTGTCATACAGACACGGGGGAACTGCGTCTCCACCCTCGGGGGACAACAGCAGCTCATATAGCCCAGCACAGCCCAAAAGAGCCTCCCCTGAGAGCCCATCGCTGCTGAGTGCAAGCTCTCCCTCTCTGCAGGACTTCAGTGAGTAGAGCGCGGAGATTTCCTCAGCGGGACAACTTAGCTGCCTGGCCTCAAAGCCACTCCATGCCTCGGCCAACTGGGATAATTCCCCTTACTGCTGAGGATGCTGGTATTGGGCGTTTGTTTAATCCTGGTCTCTAATTGCCTTGAATGCGATTCAAAAGACAGGAGCTTTGGCTCTGTGGTGCCTGCCTAAGAGCCACGGCTCTGAGCAAGGTTTTATATAGAGGTTGGGAGAAGCCCTCATTAGAGGGATTAACGCAGTGCAAATCCTCGTGTTCTGCACATGACATCAACAGCAGAAAAGATACCAGTGTGAAAGCAAGTTCTGAGAGCTCTGGCAGCTTGTCAAGAGGGTGAATGCCTTGGATTTATTTCTCCAGGTCATGTCTGTCTTTCATGTGCTTTGAGAAATTGATGTTCTCATTTTAGCTGAGGTGGCTAGAGAAACAGATTTATTCTTTTAATCTAAACCTTGTAAACAGATGATAAATAGAACGGGGAAATCCCTTCTTTTTTCCGTTCATTCGCTGCAAGAAACCACTTTTCACCAAAGCAGTAGCAGGAGAAATTAACTAGAAGTGCAGAGGATACAGATGCATCATTAACAAAAATTAATAAACCTGGCAGTAACAGCTTGGGACGGAGACTCCATCTGCTGACTGCAGAATTCCAGTGCTCATACTGTAATATTTAAGTGGCAAGTGGAGACGGATTCTTCTTTTAATAGTCTTTTTGCATACACAATGAATTATTTAATAGCTTTTAAAAGGTGAGTGGTATTTGTCTGCTCTCTAATCCTTTCCCCACCATTACACCTAAGATTGTTATGGGGATAGTCTGATTGCCAGACTTACAGAACTGTTACAGCTGAGCATTTATTACCCACCTGGCAGGAAAGAGTCTGCAAGATCAATACATGCACCAGACACGCAGACAAGCGGTTTTGTTCAGGACATCTACAAAATGACTTTAAAAAGCTGCTAGCGTGCAGCAATTCCTGCCCACAATGAAACTCTTATGTGCTAGAGGGATAAAAGGAATAAATCAAAATAAAGTAGTGGTAAGTCATGAAAGGAGACTGAAGAAATACTATCAGTTCATCTCTACCACGCTGAATAAAAACGTACATCTCCCAGTACTTCACTGAAAGCTTTCTCTGTCTCCCACTCTCTCCTTCTCTCTCCAGTGTTTAAGCAGTCTTGTAAATAGGTATAATAGAGAACAGTTGTGGCTATAGCTGTGGTTGTGTCTATACTATTCAATATTTCCAGGGATGTTCAACCACATCATACTACCATCACACAGCTAGGGACTTCACTCATACTGCAGACACTATAATCAGCATTTTCAGGCTCTCAAATCGTTATATCAAAAATCTATTATTTGCCAGACACATTCAAATGTGTTTCTACTTCATCTATGAAAACACAAAGCCAACTGGCAAAACCATGTAATCTGAAGTATGCTTCAATTCACCTCCCTTAGGATCCGATTTACCTGGAACTGACTTTTGTCTTCTGCTCTCCTTTACGCAATACATGAAAAGACAGGAAGTAAGCCTAGTGCTTGGGAAAATATGTTGAAGAAGCTCAGAAATTATAAACGGAGGCACTCACTCAATACTATTATGAGCAATATACCTCCCCTATACCACTCAGCACCTGAAAGCACATCTCCAATGTAGATGTAGACAGCTTAGACATTATCTTGAACCAAAGTCATCAATATACCATCTTAGAGCAATTAAAATGAGCAATTTACACATGTTTCCTGGCATGTCCAAAAAAGAATCGGAAAATACTGATGCAGTACAGCTGGCTGACTGAACCCCTGAATTGAGGAGTCTACCTGTAAAATATCTGTCTGATTAGACTTTACAATCAGAGTAGGCTCAACTCAGAGATCCATATGAAGGTGGCTAGTGCCATTTGAGATTGCATATGGGGCAGAATGAGTGAGCACAGAGAAAGGCGAGGTACTGAGAAAAGCAATGCAAGGTAAGTCAAGGGAAAGCATTTCTACGTAGTGCAAGAGGAAGGAGAAATGATTAATTTTCATAGAAGCTAGACAAGAAAATGGGGAAAAGCAATAGCGGATAGACGTATGAAGATTACCTAGTTAACAGGGGAAAGGAAACGACAAGTAGAACAGTGTAAGACAAATACTTTTTCTAATTTTTACTCCCTTCCGTTACAACTACATAATTTTACTAAATGGGGAACATGCTATGGTATACAGTCCTGGTATAGATGTAGCATTAGTCTCCAGTCTTCAGTAGCGCATCAAAATTTCAGAAGCCCAAATCAGGAGGTGCTCCGTGGTCTGTATTTTCTCACATCTGCATGTGTCTAACACTGGAATAGCCTCATTTCTTTTGTCCTTGTTCAGAGACAATTCAAACTGTCCTGTACTAACCAATCTGTTCCTGCATAGGTAGGTGGGTAGGTATTTGCCTCCATCACTGTTCACTTCAAGTACTCTGTTAAATGTATTTAACCTTAAATGCCACATTTGCATACACTTTTTGTAGAAAAATATTTCTTTGTCATCTTGCAGTGATGTATCATTGTCAGTGGCAATCAGCTCAGTCATCCACGAATAGATACTTAGGGCCTTTTGAGATCTCCTAGGATTTCTGAGACATGCTTTCCTCCTTTTCCATTCCTCTTCCCAGTTGGGCTGAGCAAGATCATTAAACGTGTGTTTCACAGGTTTCAGTTCAGGCAAAGAAGTAACTCCACTGGGCATGCTTAAAGAAAAGAATTACATAACCAATTGGTTAAACCAAGACTTCAGTCCCTGCTTGCTCCTCCTCAGACTCCAGCATCTTTATTCTTATATCTTTTATATCTTCTCTTCCTTTTTCTACATTTTTCTTTCTATCTTAGGCATAAAATCTCCTATCTTCTTATTTTGTTTTGTTTTGTTTTCCAGCACTTCAGAATTTGAACAGTGTTAGAGCTGCAGGCATTTGGGCCACCTGGCCTGAGATTTAGCTTACTGAACAGGACATGGAAAACTGCTGGACATGACATGATAAATTACTGGATGGGACAGAAAACAGTGTAAGAAGGTGACACCGTTACAAGTAGTGCCATGAGAAGCGGCTGGATTTCACAGGTGGTAGAGGAGGAGTTACATGAGAATGGCCAAACTCTGCAAATAATTGGAGAGGAGCACTGGGGACATTTAGAGGAGCACAACCTTGCAAGGCCAGCAGCACCTCAGGGACCATAACAGCAATACCATACAAGGCTGAGATTGCCCAGTTAACGGTATCAGAAATACCAAATTTATGTGTGGATGCCACAAAATTGGGACCACTGGCAAAAAAGTGATTAGGGGTGGTTTGTTTCCTTAGGAGAAGGTAGGAGAGGAGAAAGGACAGAAAAAGGAGGGCAAAGAAATGGAAAATGGGACAAGAAAGTGTGCAATTTATGTAAGGGGGGCCAGCCAGCCCTGCATGTGGTTACCATGGCTGGAGCAGGACAACAAACCAAACCCCTTGTCCTCACCATACGGCAAGAGTTGGGTCTGCTTCCGGGGGTAGCAGGAGGGAGACAGGTGCAGGACAGGTACTCTCCCCAGCCAGCATGGTAGCACTGGACAGATGGATCAAGCATCCTGGTGTCCTCATGCTGGTGTCCACTCCAGGCTTGCTGGCATCAGCAGCTACCCTCTGCTGCCTAACTCACAGCATGGAAGACACCAAGTAAAACTACAGAAAGACAGCTGTCTTTTAACTAGGCATTGGGAAAACGGCAGGCATTGTCTATTACTTAGCCTTGCTGTCCAAATTTTACCGCAGCTTCTCCTCAGCTGCTGCAGTTGAATAAAGGAGCCATTACTGTAGCTGCACAATATCAGTATTGTCCTGATTTTTAAAATAGCATGCTGACTGTCTTTTTACTTAATACGTGGTTTTACCGTCTTTTCAAAATGAGTACTGCTGTGTGTTTCCACTGTTGCTAAGAACTGTTTGTCTAGAGTTGTCAAAGAACTTTTCAAACTAATCTGAGCATAAGAGTAGTGGCAAAAGCCCCATTGATCCAAACTTTGACCATACAGTTTTTTCAAAAGTTTTGAGCTACTGAGGTCAGGTTACCCTACCTGAAATCATATTTAGTTTGTTAGTTAAAATATTTAGGCTTTATACTGAAGAACAGGAACACAATATTTCAGCTACCTTGCAGCCTGGATTCATGCCCAAGGTTCACCCCTAATACCAAACTCTTCAGCCTGTTGTCAAAGGAAAGCCAATAAATATATCAATATGGATGTCTACCCATCTTTGGAGTTAATACATTTACAAAATATTTTTGGTAAGAGAAGGAATAAAGAAGAATACTCAAAGGTACAGGCAAAAAAAACCCACTAAACACAGCTCACCTGACTAATACAGAATTCCTGAGAAGTAAGTAGGCAGTAGGTTCACATTTTTTTCCCTAAAAGACAGTATTGTTTCTCAGGCTCCTTCTTTTGTACTCAAGGACAGATTAGCATCAAGCCACAGATTTGGCCTTTGGAATTTTTGAAAGAATTTTGGGCAAAATGAAACATTCTACACATAAACTTCTGTGGAAATCAACGTATCGATAGAAAGAATAAACCACATGATGATTCATATCGACAGGTGACAATTCTGGAGATGACAAGAAGAAGATAATAGAAGAAGAAAGATAATTCCACATGGAAAACTGCAGAGAGGGAAAGGGTAAAAGTCAAAGTGGAAAGAAGAGAGACAGGAAAAGCAACAACCATTTATGTGCTTCATAGGCAAAAGAAAAAGAATTTTCAAACCCAAAGAGGAAATAAAAAAGAAAGTCATCATATGATAATAAAACTCACTCAGCCAAGTCAATCCATAGTATCCCAAGCTCAGCACTTAAAACCGATGAACACTTTTGGAAATCTTGGCCATTGTTAACATTTTTCTTTTCTTTTCTTGTAAAGCAAGA